CTAGATATTGTATGTGTTTGGTTATATTTCAAACGTTATCCTGCAAACGCTCTGTGAGTAGCGCGCAGTTTTTTTGAAGTGGTTGAAGTACCATCCTACGTCTCTGCAGCATAACAAAGTGATGGACAGTTGAATCGAAAGCGTGAGCGCGGATTTTCGGTTCATTTAGTTGGTGAGTGATTTCTTTGAGAAGCCCGAATGCCGCCCCTGCTGCTCTCCTCCTTCTGCCTAATTCCTCCATCATGCTGTTCTCCACGTTTATTGAACCCTCAAGGTATACCTGTTCTTTGTCTATCTATAACCGGAGATCCATACAGGTCGATTTATCCACCTACGCACCACCTGTTCCTCATGAATTGGCTTTTCTCCGACTCAACCTTAGCCTTTCTGCGAACTCAGTCAGGATTCACCATTTTGAAGATGGACTTGAGATAGAAACATGTCGAAAAGCAGTTTCTGAGTCCAATAGCACTGCAGCTGACCTCATTCAGTCTAGGAGCTACAGACTAAGTTTAGTTATCGCAACACACACGACATGTTACCTTCAAAACAAAAGGATCTCAGCACAGTGGTCGACCTCATGCACGGTCATCCTGTCCAGGAATGGAATCCAAGGAATCTCCATAACTATGGTGCCACTTACTTGCTGAGTGCTTCTCCACGAGCTCTTTATTATGCCAGTTCTAACAAATAAAGAACTTTCCCCAAAGCGCTACCAGAGAAGGAAAAAGAATTCCGACAGGGATTCTGTTGCTATGGATACCTGTGACCCAAGAGGTCACTATTTTAGACAATTGAGTTGAACTACTGCGACTTCGAAGAAGGCAAAGGCACCGAAAGTTTAGCTGTAACAGAATTTTATAACACTCTCAGCGATACGGCATAGAGACTATTTCCTACTCTTAACCTATAATACGACACCCCACCCCGCTTCGGCGGACTCGGCGTACTTCATTCCTCACACTCTTCTCGAAGCTTATAGATCGCACTAAATTCCATGTGATCGCCCTACAAGAAACAAAAAGCAAGAAAACCGACACACGTCAGCTAAATAACGCGGATCCATAGAGAAAAGATCAAGTCAACAAACGTTGATGGCGCAGGCTTTGTCGTCCAAACATCCATCGTCCATCTCGTTGACTCATACGAGATCCTTCCTCTTCGCATGGCGTCCTTTGCCTTTAAGTCTTTAGCCCACATGTCATAAGAAGACCACTGTTACCAATTTCTACTCACTAACCAATGCAGTTGATGAACGAGAACTGCATGCTTGAGAAAGTTGGAGAAAGTTATCTGCATTTATAAATCTCAAATACTATAAATTTGTTGTCTGACATTTTAACGCCACGATAGGAAAGTTTAACCAAAACAAATATAGGATTCGAATATCTGGATTAGCAGAAGGAAATGAGGATGGAAACCTTCTTGCAGGACTCGTGTCTGCCGCATGCTGTTCCACGGAACCTCGTTGTTTCAACAAAAGGTGACCGCTGGACATGAGAGTCACCTAACAGCACGATACATTCGAAGATTCATGGGAATCACTGGTCGGCGCGACACATGTGAGGACAAATAGAAGATATTGCCTAATTGACACATTGGTTGCGCCATCAATTTTTACTGGGTCCTATTACCACCTTATTCGCGAAAATATTCTACTCAGCTGTAAGCTGGAAAAGAATTCATGTTATTGACCAAAAAGAAAAAGTCCAAATGTACATGACGAAAACGTTCCGAGCGAAATCCGATCCAAACGCAACTGATGGACTAACGACTTAAAAGTTGTGCCGAATTCGCCTCAGTTCGTAAGCAAAGAGGATCAGATCGTAACCCCATTAGAACGAAGGAACAGCATAATAAAAGTAAGAGAACTAAAGTTTCGTTCCACTGCAACACAGTGACTAGAAATAAATTCCATTTGCAGAAGAGCTTTGCGGGGAGACTCATATCGGTGCAAGCAAAAAAAATGTTGGAAGAAGCACATAACACATAACAAAGAATAACAAATTCTTCGCCATCAGACCCAATGAACGAAAACGGAATCACTACAACTTTGCACCAAGAAATGGAATTGATGGAGAAAAAGTTTTACACTAACCTTTCCCTTTCCTCTATCCCCGATTGGGACCCTAAAATCCCGCTGGAGAAAAGCCACCTTGAAATCCTTCTTTCTGAGATTCGAGTTGCGATAGAAAGCATGAAAAAAGGCTCAGCTTCAAGACCCTATAATGTCAAAGTTGTCTTTCCTCAAGCTGAAGCCATAAACTACATTCACTTCTCGCAAAGCGTATGGTATCTTACCATCAACTGCGAGAAATGCGACCAGTGAAGGACGTCGCCCTCGGTCGTCCTGCCCAATAAGAGTAACCGAAAAAAAACATTCGTAACTATCGTCTGATTTGGTTGATTACACGAGGTATTCACGAAGACCATCCTACTGCGCAGATTAAGAGCTTCGGGTGAAATGCAACCAGTCGAGAGAGAAGGATTCTAACAGGCATTCTCCTGCACGAACTAAATTTAAGCCGCGTCTAGGGTTATAAAATTCTCCTAGAGATGTCGTCTGCTTCCTACCATAGTTTTCCAAGAAAATGGGTTCCATAACGTCTAAGCGAATGTAATTCTATCAACACGTGTAGATTAAGGAGTGGAACTCGTCCTGCAAAAGAACTTTGATTGTTGTCGTAATTGCACTACGAAAAGAAAACTTTTCTATCGATGCCTTACCGCGCCCGTAGGAAAAGAGGTTCCTCAAGGTGACATCACAACACCAAATTTACTTACTGTTCAGGTGCAATGGGTGGTGAAGTCACTAGAATGGGACGAGAATGGAATACCTATTGATAGAAATTTTCGTTTTGCTTATTATCTTTTTGAGAAATACCAATGAAGCACAAACAAAGTTGCGGTGAGAGGAAGGGGAGTGGCTGACAATTCAGTGTTGTTTTTCTGATATAAGAGACCGTAACACACGTTTGCCTAACGCATTCAATGAATATTGAGATTGACTTGAAGAATAAATTATACTGAGAAGAGAAGCATTATGCACGGCGTTCGAATCTCTTGAAGAAATCGCTAATCATCCAGCAAACACAAAACTCCGCGCTCGCATGTCTGACTCAACGGTTCTCACAGCGCCCTGGTATGAAGCATAGACCTTGGTTGATATTTCACCCCTTTCTATGCACCAGAACATCTAACTGGATTGTATTCCAGACCTTCATAGGCTATCCTATTGAGATTCAGAAGAGTACCTATCGATAAATTTGTCATATAATGAAAGTAGTTGACACATATGAATGGTACGGATAAGAAATTGGATTCTAGAATGCAAGGGTCTTCGAGAAAAATCACACGATGGGCTGAAGTGTTTGTCTTTTGTTTTCAATCAGCTATGAAGAAAAATTTTTGTATCACGGAATGCGCCTACCGGGCGTCTACGAAAGGAGAACTCTTGAAGAATAGGCATCCAAGTGTCAAATTACGAATGCGCCGTCCAAGCCCTTTCATGTTTCGTTGAATTCATTAAGCATCGTCGGCGTCCCTGGTGCTCGTCGAAAAAATGATGAGTTGCAAAACAATGATTTATTGGGAATTTGCTATCGATGCGTATGTCCTTCTAGCTCTACTCCAGTAGCTTCACTGTCCATTATAATGTGGCCGTAAACAGTATTGGGCAGATAGTGTCTCCTTGTCGGACCCTCCCTCTTCTAGTGTCTCCTTGTCAGACCCTCCCTCTTCTAGTGCCCCCTTGTCGACCCTCTTCACAATGGGGATGACATGGGGCCAAAATAGAGAAGTTGTACTTTTGTAGTGTAGCTACGATAGCAATCAGCTGGAGTTGTTATAGAGGGATGGTCTACCGGATGGTCGATATGCATTGATAAGATATCAGTAGTGGTGATGCTGGATTTTAAAAAGCGGTATAAATTATAGGTGTAAGTCGCACTGCTCTTGGCATGGCGCAAACATGATGCAAAAGGCAGCTTTTTTCAAAAAATGGAAGAGTAGCAAAATTCATAACAGTTACTGGGAGATGTTGCAAGGACTGGCACCGTTCCTATGAACAGTAATGTTGCGATGAGCAAACACTTTCTTCAAAACAATTCATTTCTGGGTTGACGCTGGTAGATCAGCACATGGTGCCTTCGAGAAAATTAAGAGCTTCAAAACTCTATTGTGCTTTACTATAGGTTGAAGTTGAAGATAGATGGAAACTCCGAAGTGTACTCATCATGTCTTTCGAAACAGACCAACAAAACCCGAATAACGCCGTGTTTTATATGGCGAACGACTTAACTTTTCCAACTATGGGAAAAGTAGAAATTTTTCAAAAAACGAAGAATAGCATAGAGAATATGTGGAGCGTATAGAGTACGAAAGTTGCAGAAAAAAATGTATAAAAAACTCGATTATAAGGCGGAAAAAACAGAAAGTGATGTGCCAATGCATCATTCAACTTGTGAAAATTAGTCGTAGCCTCATATCGCCCGTCACAGAAATTTGGACACAGCCAAGAATATGTGAAAAGATATGAATTGATTACTCCCATATTGTATATCGGTACGTTTATGCATATTCATACGTTGACAAGTACATGCACATATATACATTTGCACACACACTCACACACACGCAAGCACACATGGGCGCACGAACGCACGCACGCACGCACGCACGCACGCACACGCATACACACACACAAACAAATATACAAACAAGCGCATACACATACAAATACATGCATACATACACGCATCCACGCACTGGCGCAATATAAATAAGGGCACATTGCACATGCATAAAATGCATTCATTATAAAAAATAGATGACAAATATTACCACCTACTTCTTCGTTGCGATCTGAGGACGCTTAGTCTCTTCCCAATGGTGATCACTCGTTGGTGGCGTTCCTAAACAAGTATCTCTGAAAAATCGAAAGTAAGTTAAATTAAAATCTGGAATTCTATAGAATACTAAATGGACTTAAGCGGATTTTATTAAGTCGTTACTTTTTCACGTCTGTGAAGATGATGACCAACAACGACAGTAATCAAATAAAATGCGTATAGAAGAATATAACCTAAAAAGTACGTCGTCACTGAAGATATCGTGCTGAAAGAACAAGTGAATACATGACAGCACCAACAATTTGCATCCCATAGGAGCAAAAACTGTAGGAAAGAAAAGGAGTTATAGTAACGATAGAATTTAAACTTTTCTTCCTTAAGAGATACCACAAAGAGTATTTTATTTGTTGGGTGACCTACAGGATGGCTGCCAGATGTACACTTGATGGCTGTAGAGGAAAACGAACAGAATCCAACTCAGAGCGATTATGTAGAAGATGAGGTCACGCAGTGTCGCGAAGACGTCGATTCTGAATGGTCGAACAAATATGATCGTAGCGTTCACCATCGTCGTCACAAATATACCAGCACCTAAGAGAAATCCTTTCCTGGTGTTAGCAATAAGGTTAAACAGAAAGTTGAAGAGGCTACTAACAAAATTTCACTGGATAAAACAGAAAGAAGAAGCCTAATCAGGAGCCTAATAGTAGTCTGTTAAAAAATACTATGGCGAAAATCATGGATGAGATGGGCAATCCGTTTTAGCACAAACAGAATAAACTCGAAAAGATTGAGAATTAACTAAAGGAGAAGAGCATGGTTAACTTTCTATTTACTGCCTATTACAATTTTTCACGGCATGGTTTTATGTATTATACAATCGCAATGGTGCTGAGATATTTGCGGGTGTCTGCGGTGGGGATCGAACGTCCTACTACCTTTTCCGGAGGTTAGCACGTACACCTCTACACCATGCAGGTCGTTCGTTTTATCTTTCTTACAACTGGTTCTCTATTTACCAGTGCCATCAGCAGTCATTCCTCAACGGGATTGATCTGGGAAGCCTAATTGAGTGTTCGATCCCCACCGCAGACACCTGCCGTCCAGAGTTTTGCAAATATGTAAGCATCGGTGTAAAAGAGAATATTATTCGATCACAACTTTTTCTTATTATGGCTGAACGATTTATAGAGTCGAAATTATAAACCACGAGCAGGAAATAGGCTTCAGTAGATCGCGTTTCATGAGTAGAATTCTAAACCTCTTTACATTTTAGTGACTTTCCTATCCTGCAGAATAATGAGTTGTCTAACATAGGGTGAGTTGATAGAGGAATCATAAGCCTAAGTGCAAACAGCATCGCTTCAACAGCATGAAAAAACTTGTTCTTGCTTACCTATCTTTTCTAATTTCACTTTTTTTTCGAAGAAAATGTTTCTATCTTGTATGAAAATTTTTCTGTCAATGTCAAGCTTGCAAAATCACTACGCCACAGAAATTTGAGTTCAACGTCTTCAGTAATTGGAGAACACAGCGTAAAACTGCACGGTTTCCTGGAGAATAGTGCAAATTACCGAGGAGTTCTCCGAGTGCCAGCCCGGCTTTTGGTTTCGGACTGCTGAGGACCGAGGCGACGGCTCCGAATATGTCTGGCGCTCCGTTGCCAAACGCCAGAAATGTAGCACCCTGGAATTCACGCAGTCTTAGATTACCGGCCGATCACAACTGAACTCGCGATTTTAAAAGAACTCTGTAGTAAAACTCTGGACCGCAGCTGTCTATGGTGGGGAACGAACGCGCTATTGTCCTTTCCGGGGAGTAACGCGTTCACCACCGCACCATGCGGGTCCTTCCCTTAGTACACTGTCACAAAATTATAATAGGCAGAAAATAAAAAGGTATAACATTGTGAACTCTGTAGTATTTAATTAACATAGATGAAATGAAGACCTTTGAGAATTCGGGAAGAAAACCCAAACTGTGGAATTGGCGTATTTTTTGCTTCAGCCTTAATAGGTTAAGGAAATGTCATCTTCTTTACAATGATAGCTTTAGTCACTCTTCTTTTACTTATGAACACCAATAGGAAAACTAACTGTACTTTAAACAAAGGAAGGATCTTTGCCCTTCCCATCCCCTTATATTAGGCTTCGGTTTAAAACTTTTGTCTGGCCACAAATATTTTAGAGCTGGCTTATAATATTTTGTACTGAGTGGCAGTACACCAGTACTTCTAATCACAAGAAGACTTCAGTTTATCAAGAAAAAATTGCCGCTTCCATCATGCCCGTGATTTGAAGATTCCTTCGCTTATCGATAACGAATGAATTTTATCATATTTTTCGACACGACACCTGATTTTCGTGCGGTACCGCTCATTTTTCGGTAACTAGTTGAAACTTCGGTAGTTGAAGAGTTCGGAACTTAGGGCGTCTTTAGAAGGCGCTTGATTTGTTACAGTAACAGTACAAGCGACGCTCCTAAAGTGCTACTTCACGTTTTTTAAGTTTCTCTAAGACTCAAATTTTTAATAAACCAGAGGCGAAATCCAAGCTCTTAAATTCTTCGACGTAAGTGCGGTAGATGAAAGCATCAACGGTACATTGAAGAATATCATCGAGTCTTGTTCTATGAAATCCCGCTTCTTAAATCGCTTTGTTGTACGGGGTACGAGCCCGATGAGAAAACAAGAAGAAAAAATATTTTTTATGGTTTCCACTAGCCAAAATGTTACCAGTGCAAAACAATAAAAAATGCATCTTGCCGGAGATTCTGTCTTTACTTCACTTAATGAACGCCACTACTAGTCAAGATATGATGGCATGGACTGGAAAGGCGCGATTATTTCCGAGCACATATGAGTCAAGCACAAGTCAAACATGGCTCTTTGTTAAAAAAGAAATTCTGTGTAGAGTGACATCGCGATAAAAACCAACTGTGCAGTGCGCACCTATTAAACAGATTTGGCCCATTAGAAGTGTTATCGAACAACGGCCATAAACTATGGTGAGGAAACTTATAAGGAAAAAGATTCTAAACAAAACTCACTGCTACACTTTCACTGATTTTTAGATGTGCGACGATAGATGAAACACATGGCGAGAAGAAATCATCAGCAACTGACGATATCAGTACAAATAGCAGTAGCATCCAGAAAAATCCGACAACAACTAGCGCAATCTGAAACGCTACGAAGCGCCTGGCATTTTTCATTCGTTTAGAACGTTTCCAACTATTAAAGACATAGAAAATATGTTGGAGCAGTATGTGAAAAGCCTTTATCTTCTTTTATACGACCCAACATCAAACTTCATTTGGATCCTATCGTTTCATCCGCTTAATTCATTTGCTCTCCTCCATAAAAAAAGATCCTCGGATTTGCAAGTGGTTTCGACTGCTACCTAGGATAACTGGTCTTCATTATAAGTGTCGCTGAGCGCTCGTCAAGTTTATTCTACTGGAATCTAGGACATCTATGCTAGGGTGTTTCTAGGTCTTCACCAGAAAAGCAGTTGTCAGTTTTTACGAATCGGAGTCCATTTGTCTCAGACAAATCTGAAACAACTACAACGCTGCTGAGATATTCTCGAAACTTGGACTCCGGCTCAGATCGAATCACGATTTCCTTTTCCGGAGGCCCGCGTGTTACGCACTGCTCAACGGAGGTTCTTGTTCAACGTTTCTCTCAGCTTAATGTCTAAGCGATTAAAGTATGAAGTACAATTATGTCTAGGTACTCACTTACTTGGAAGCTTGGACGGCCCGTCCTCACTGGTTGTGCGGTACTCAGCATATTCTCCATTTTGCAATTTGCTGGTCTAGCCTCTGCGTTTCTCTTCAGACCCGAGGTCAGCCTGGTCAAAGCCTACCCCAGCTCGTTACCGCCAAAGGCAGTCGCCACCCTTGTGGATCAGAGGGAGGTTACAAGTTTTATATCAGGACGATGGTGGGCCCTGGTATCGGCTTACTGGGCGTTCTGATGGAAACGCCGGACTGCTTTCCAGGTTGGAGATCATGCGGGGATGAATCTCCTCGCTGTACATCGAACCCCGACAACCTGGAACACCTCCCAGCCACGATGAGGCGGTAAACCGCTGGGAGGATTGTCTAGATAATTCGATCATATTCAACTTCATGGTTTTTCCAGATAGCTTAAAAGGAATAAAGTCGAGAACATAAATAAATTCATCAGTAGAAAACAAGTGAAACCTTTTTCCCAAGATCGAATTGGCATTCAACGTACTGCGACCACAGCAAATATCCACCTCCTTCACAGATATCGTCATGGTAGTTGACATAGTCACAGATTTCTGAACGAAATTAAATTCGTTCTCCTCAAACCAACACATACTAACCATTACAGGATGTGAGCATACTATCTAAGCTATACGGAAATGCAACGCAGTTATTTTTGGATTCAATGTTGGGTTCTTTTTACTAAAGGCAGAATGGGGACGGACATATCAATGGAGCGCCGTAGACATGCGTTGACAATTGCAAGAAGAGATTTCCGTCTCCACTCATAATTCTAATCCATATTTCTCTTCCGCAGAGAGAAATTTCAGCAGGTACTTCCAAAAAAAAACAACGCCATAACCAATAGCACCGGCAATTTTTTGTTACATAATAAGTCCACAATAAAAAGCTTCACAAAGAAAATTCTTCCCTCCAACTCTGAGAAAGGAGAAGCGTTTATTTCGCTAACTATTCTTCGTTGCTCACGTTTGAAAAACACTTTGCCCTACAAAAGGATTAAGGTTTTGGCGTTAATGAACCCTTAAGGGTGCACCATACATTTGAGTTCATTCACAGCATAGGAGAGCTCATTAAATGCATATTTGGTTTTTCAAATGACTTGCGGTTAATATAAGTCCCTTCATCTTTCTAGCCAGGTCTGACACCATTTTCCAACACTAGAAGGATGCACTGCCTATTGGAGAAACCACAAAATCTATGCAGAGCAAATAAACAAGTTTTATACACTCTTTCTGTGAGCAGTGAAAAAAGTCACTAATGCTTTAATTTCTTTTAATTAAAAGAAATAAATAAGGAGCATGAAGGAAGAAGTAGCTAACGGCTTTGCTTTGAACGCGAGAACATCTGAAACCCTGATTGGCACAATAGAAGCGCTAACATAGTTTGTGTTGATCTACTAAGCCATAAACTCGCACTCACCTTTTTTACTCATGTTTTTCCATACCTGGCAAATGTCTTGGTTACCTAAGAAGTGGTCGGTCTTATTTACGGTCTCCGGTGATGTGACAACACTTAGTGGAAACCAAGCTAATAGTACGGCAACGTGGAGCATCTACGGTAACCGTCGATAGGCTGACACGTTTTCTTAATGACCTTCGTATAGAAGAAAATACGCTGAATGGGCAAAAATAAGAAAAAGTAAACGAAATATTAACAAAATGCAGGCAATTTGAATAGGAATTTGAGCGGATGGAAAGGTAGTTGCAACGATTCAAAGGGAACACAAATGAAGCTGCTGTCAAGCTTCTCCTTAGCTAAGTGGTCCACTGAGAACGTGCATAAGTTACTAATGTCGGGTATACATTACTTTTACGCTTGCAAAGTTTAATTACCAATTTACTGACTTAATTAGGCCTCACATCCTTTTCCATTTGCTTAGTCGCCTCGCAACCGTTGTCCATGCTACTATGGGTGCCGTTCGTAGGTGGTTTCCCCAGAGGGTTGAAGATTTGTGGACGATCATCCCTATAGAGGTCTGCCACTGATTGAACGTGATTTGCGCAGGAATTTCGAAAAAACCGTGCTAACTCGTTTCTAAACCTTCATCACCTGCAGTTCTTAAGCAGCACTTATACAGTGGGCAATGCTCTCTTCGATTGCGACGAAAATTCTCCCGTAACGGCAGCGATTCCCACTATTAATTAGCCAGCCGATCCAAGAGATGTAATAAGCCAAAAAAGACGTTATAATACTAATTAAAATACTTTTTTAAAATAGTGACGATAATTTAGAGCATGTACGAATCACAAACGGACAGCAGCGAGTGACGAAGTGAGGCATAAAGAGTTCACACTTGTCTCTAGCACTCTTTGTTGTGCTAAACTCTTCGTTTATGTCTTTTTTCCTGAAATTTATTGATAACTGCCTTTCTAAGATTACAAAAGTACTCAGAAACTTTCGTCGTCCAAGAAGAAACCTTACGTGCACACTACATAAAGTGCACAAACCACCGTTAGTAGGTTGGAGTGAATTTACTACTTAGCCAAATCCTCTAGCTAGATATCTAGAAGAAAGTGCTCAACGCTCCAACTTGGACGACTCTCTTAGGGACGCTGCAAATAATTAGCATTTCGATGGAAGAAAACTCTCCACGCCACGTTGATGCAGTAAGCCACTGAGGCAATTCTACACCTAAAGTCTGCTTAATCGGTTTCACCAAAGTATGATGGTACTGCATTATTCAGATAGGCACAGAGGTCGGTTAATGGTTGGATGCAACGTGCTCATAAAAACAGGTTTACGTCACATTCCCCATCTTTTACTAATGTAGACATCACTACTAACAAATGGTTTAGATACTATACAAGTTACGCTCTTTTGGGTTATATTGAAAACACTAAGGCAGAAGTGTTTCTTAGTTTGGCTGCATCCAGTGCCGGTCTTTTGCAACTTCTATAATTCTGGAGACGTAGGCTTTTCCTTCATTTCGATAAGATTCTATAAAATATCATTATCCTTTATTAAAAAGCATTGCCGGCTGAGGTAGCCTCATTTGAGTGTTGCTTTACTGAAAAAGATTCGATTCGATACGATAACGAAGACACCTTGTCGAGAAGATGAACGCCTGCGGACTATCAACTCGGATCATCAGCTCCGATGAAGACGAAGACGTCGAAACGTGAGCCGAATAAACT